AGGCGGGTGGGTTAGAGACCCGAGACCCAGTGTTCACACAGCTGTAGCGGTGCAGCGTTAGTTAAAGCAGGGGAAGATGTATTTTTCTGTATTAAATTTCCTGCCTGAGAACTTAGTTTCTCTGTCTTTCCTCTGTGGTAGGTCATTTTCCTTTTGCATATAAGAATTTTCTTTGGAGAAACGGTGCAAGAGGTTGTCAGTGCTTCATTTAAACTGCTGTTTATAAAACGGTACCGTTGACGTCTGAATTTCCCCCATTCAGTCTTGCTAGCTTCAGGAGCTAGAGACCTGCTGAAGGGTCAGTGCTGAAATTGCTCTATCCCTTTAAAAGTGGAATGAAGAAAAATCTGTATCTGGGATGAATAAAAACGTATTATAAGAAGTTTACCATATTTAAAAGAAGCTAATCTTGCGAAGGTCATAAAGGGGATTCGGGAATTGCCTTTTTCAGCACCTGGATTCTACTAAAAGGTGAAGGAGACAGACAGGCAAACCTAGAACTGTATTGCTTTTACAAAAAATAAATGTAAGCACAGGTAACGTCCATGCGCTTAGTTCTTATGCTGTTACTTTCCAGTTAAAATTATTGATTGATACTAATTGTACGTATCACAAAGTTCAGAGATTAATAATTTTGATTTATCTTTGGTTCTTCAAAACAGCCCTAAGGTACGGGACAGACTGTTGCTATAAGGAAGAGATTTGATAGTTTTAATTTTTTCTTTCTTTTATCCACCTAATGTTATTTTCTCTTAAATATATTCAGAAATACCAGAAACTGTTTGTAAACATAGTTTAAAATATAGAGAAGAACTATCAACAGCTATATATTTTTATGTCAGCTAATTTATAATTTCAGTGGCCTGTATTTACTTTCCATATGTGCAAGTTCTGAAATTCTGAAATTGGTTAATACGAAATAGTGAAAATAAATGAAAGTATGAGGGTACAGGTAAAATTAAAGGTTAAATGAAGACATGTGAGCAGTCTGATTCTATTCAGGATAAACAAGATACCCTCAGGGATTATAATCTGCCAGGTGAAAATATCACATGCTGAGGGCACATGCTAAGGAGATGTGTTCTCTGTTCTTGGTCACAACTGCAATAAGAAATTAATTTCTGGGCTTACATGAGATCTGAAGAGTGGCTGTATTTTCTGCAGATCCACCACCTGTACAGCTGATTGTCCAGTTCTTGGAACAAGCTTCCAAACCATCAGTGAACGAACAGAACCAAGTCCAGCCACCACCTGATAACAAAAGAAACCGTATTTTAAAACTCCTTGCCCTTAAAGTTGCTGCTCATCTGAAGTGGGATTTGGATGTATTAGAGAAAAGGTATGGGTTGTATGTTTCATGCTGAAGTTATGGTACTAGGAAGTGCCATGAGCTCTTTATTTTAACGAATGAGAATCAGTTTTATTCCCTATTCTGACAGTAGCTTTCTTACATTAAGAAGAGTCCTGGGAGTGAGAATTGGAATCAAATTCAATTTCCTCTATAGGTTAGAAAAGTTTTGATAGAAGATTCATAAAGGCAATGTCTGTGAGCAAATCAATACTATTAATAAGTTAAAGAGGAAAAATAGTGGGACTTGGCCATTGCGATATGCGTGTGTCTAAACCTGGGTAAGGATGAGGTTTAGGTTAGGTTTTCTCCAGTGACAAAGCCAGCGTAAGTTTCCCCATCCTGACAGGCTTTGCTTTATCCTTTCCCACAGTTTACATCAACAAAACTGGAAAAATAGCAGAGCACCTCCATCTATCTGTGAACTAGATCACTGAACTGGATACGGTTGAAACAACCCCCCTGAATGACCTTGCAAGTAGTTAGAGAGGTCTAGCTACAGCAGAAAGTAGGAGAACCAGGAACTTCTTTATTCCGGCAGTGCTAAGCGTATTAGGGGACTGCACTTCAGCACTGTAAAAACTTAATGGAGTAAGACTTGTTCTCCTCCACCCTTGCATTGCATATTACACTTGGCAGACTTCTTGAAAGAAGAAAGTTTTAAGTTCTGTAGAAGTTGTATCGAATCTGAGTATGTGATAAGAAAATTTTTAAAAAATTACATTATAGCATCTTATTTTTCTTGAGTTGATCTGAAAATTAGACGTTCTTTATAATGTTATATAGAAATCTTCCGACCGCAGAAATATTTTGACAAACTTTGTTCCTTTAAGCTACTGGTAGGGTTTGTCTCTTCCTAGATACTTTTCTTTTTGTATTCTTCCTGCTATATGAACGCTACAGTTTTTTTATTTCTCCGGGTAGTGTGCTATAGCGAGCAGTAAAAAGGATTTCGAAGAGATGTCCTTGGTTCTGCCTACCAAGATCTCTTTTTTTTCTACTAAAGAAAGGAGATGATGAAAATATTATGTCATATTTTTTTACCTTACTGAAGCATTATGAGGCTGAATTACTGATTGTCAAAGTACCTTTGCAAGATGTTGCACAAGGGCAGACAATGAAGTGAAGTCTTTATTGTGGTTAGTTATGAAAAGACTGTATTGATAGATGTATTTTATATACAATAATTTTTTTTTTAATAGTTTTGAAAGTTACCATTTAGGAATATGTAAGAGAGGGCTTTTTTTAAGGCTGTTTCAGTTTTTGGAGGGATTTGTATCTGTTCTTGGCATATTTTATGTCAATTAATATTTTTACTTCTTGGAAATACAGGTATAATCCTGACTGATAAATCAGTCCTCCTGTGTGATAATATTGGACTGATTCTGGGATTCTGTAGTTCTGTAGGACTGTTTTGTCCCTGGTTTTTTTGTTTATTTGTT